GGGGTTACCCACCGGAGGTACTGGTAGGGTCACCCTTACATGCGCGAACTCCAATATATTGATCAGCGCAGCCTCTCAAGACGCTACGCAAGAGTTCGGGCTCCTAACTATCAGTCGGGAACAACAACTAGAAAACTGCCAACCCGGTACCATGAAGTGACGTTACCACCATCCATACATATCACAAAAAAATCATTACAGCGCCACTATTAAGGCCTGACAAAAAGGAAAAGATCATGGAACCCCTTCCTAAACAGGAAACAAGGGATGAGCCTCTAGTCCTGTTCAAGAGAAGGGGAGGGCATGAACCGGTCGATAGGAAAGCTTAATGACATCTATGAAGATTAACTTAGTTTGTTACAAAGATCGAACTCACTGATATATCTCGAAAATAGATACATATAACTACACACCATTGCAAATGACCTAATCTGAGGAAAAAATAGAAATCGATTGCATCCAGTCACTCCAATGACCGTATGGTGAAAGAAAGGTGATGTAATGGAATAACCTGTCACCTCTATGAGTGACTACACTATAGGTAGTAATTAACTATAAGTAGCTGTAAGTCAACGGACTACAGAGACTACCTGCGACCTGTTCCAGCTAAACAGTCGAACTCTCTGCCTTCGGGCAGAGAGGAACCCGGATGAGGCTCCGCCAAAGGGCAAAAACTCGTTCGGGGAGGTAGACAGCCCCTGAACACGTTTATGCGGGTTCAAAAAGGGAATATTTTGGGCTGAGCCTACGGGCTCGGAGAACCCACGTTAAACCGGCCTTGTGCCACATGCAGCCCTTGTGGGGAGGGGTAGCTAAATAAACTACCTGCGATTTGTTCCAGCTAAACAGTCTAAATCTCTGCCTTCGGGCAGAGAGGAACAAGTACGAGGCTCCGCCGAAGGGCAGAGTCTCATTCGTCGAGTTAGACTAACCCTGAACCTGTTTATGCAAGTTCAAAAAGGGAATATTTTTGGCCGACCCTACGGGCTCGGAGAACCCACGTTAAACCTGTCTTGTGCCGCATGCAACCCTCGTGTGTGTGTGGGGGGGGGGTAGCTAAATATACTATCTGGGATCTATTGAGTACGACTCCGACTCCGACAGATGCTTATAAAGTTCTGGTGCAATTATTTAACGAAGAGTTTCCACGTGTGGTAAATCTTAAAGTTTCACAAATGTCTAAATTCAACACCGGGGAAATGGCCGGAAAAAAAAATTATCGTATATTTGTAAAAACTATTCAACTCAGCTGGAAAAGGTCAATTGTTTTTATTTGCCTCGGGGAAAATTAGTTCACGTCTCGGATCTCTGGGGACGTTTTCTATTTTTTTTTTCGGCGTTATCATTGTTGAGGTTATTTTAAAATTATGTTTTGATACTGAGTTGTCAAAAATATAGTTGAACTCACCATCCGCGGAAACGCTTCTACCTGCCACAAACCAAAGGCTATCCACGGTTGGCATTGTGGTGATTATTATCACCATCACACACATACATACATACAGATCATACGGCAAGCATTCATTGGCTAATCTCCTCAAAACTAGCCCGCTGATTGGTCAATTCTGACCAATCAAATCGCCTCCACGCGAGGAATAATTTTCCCGCGCGCAAGTTAGGAGCCTGTCACGTGAGACACAAACTTTTATAAACAAAACACGAATAAGACTCTCTTGTGTTTTCTTCATTCATCTTTTTCGTTGCTGCCAAGATGTAATCTTCAAGAGCTCTCGTCTTGTCCTTGCGGTCAGACGTTAAAGAACATTACCAACATTCACGCAAGTACGAACTCTTAACTCTTCTGAACTCTACCAACTTTTCCATCTCACATTTCCTAACATGCAACAGGAACTTTATTCTTCTAAAACTACAGTTTAATAATTAATTCAATTTCGTGAGCTCCAGTACAAATATTTCCCAAATCTAAGAGACGTAACTCTATCAAACCTTTAGTTTATATGCATGTACATCACAACAGATAAATTCAAATGTTATGTTTTGCACCATTACGTCCTGTCTTGTATTTTTGCTATCTGCTATTTTACATCAAATATAAATTGCATTGTGACCGCCACATTTGATGGTGACCTCCAGCGTCTTTGCTTGACCTTTTCTACATCATTCCTAATCAAAGTTAAATAAATGTCGTGGGGTCTGCAATATCTGATTGACAATCCTTCACATTTTTATTGCTGACCCGTCGTCTGTTTCGCACCCTACTACAGCGTCATCATTAAATTTTCGTGTTCAAATATTTTTTAGGCGAAAACTTCTTTGAAAAATAAATTTCAAATTAATAAAATGTAAAGAAGAAAGGGTATAGGCATAACAAACCATAACATAAGTCTTTAATAATAATAATAATAATAATAATCGGGTGCCTTCTTATTGACATGCTTGTCCTTGCATACTGTAATGTATCTTTGACGATATTAAAAAAAACTATCAAAATACAAGGACCTTGAAAACGAAATCTCAAAGATGTGGCATATAAAGACATCAACAATTCTACTTGTAGCCGGAACCCTTGGATTGGTTAGAAAATGTTCCGATAGACTCAGTGAAGGGATTCCTGGTAAAGGGATTCCAAGCAGAGCCACACACCATACGAAGGACTGTCTCTGTAAAATGTGTGTGATCTTAGGTTTGTTTTTATTCTTGTTTTTTTAACTCAAAAAATACTCAGTGACAGGATGCCATTTCTAATCTTAGGTCACTGGTTTGGATCCGGAAGGAAATGAGTATACACCAGAAATGAAAGGAAATAAATTGATGCCCTTGTTAGACTGATGGTTTTTCGTATATTTGTACATTATTGGCGTACTGCATTTTCACTCGCTCAATAATCATGATGATGATGATGATGATAATAATAATAATAATAATAATAATAATTATGGGAAAATATAAAAAATAATAATTTAAAATTTCTTCAAAGTTATTTAAATTTGGATTATTTTATCTTGAGAGGAAAACCTCTAATTAATTCGTTCATTCACTACTGAAATTTTTTTTTTCCATAATTAATTTCATTTTTGGTTGGACGCATAAGTCAAATATGTTTCTTAATGGAGGAGGGTTATGTCTCGTCTGTCATGTATTTGGATTCACTATTCGCGGCTGCGTGATGACTTAAAAGCTATCGGCCGCAGATAACGAGGTACTATAACTTTGGTCAAATATGTTTTTCTAACCCCAATAATTGTCTTGTTATCACCAAAAGACATGATCCGTAGTTTTTGCATTAGTTTTTTTTTTTTTTTATCATTTTATCCCAAGTAAGTCGGTAAAGACACAAATGGTTTCTGGGAGTTAAAGAGAATGAAAAGACTTTAGTAAAGAGAAAGGACAATAAAAGTACAGATTTTAGGAAGACAGAAGATGGCGATAATGCCACTAAGTCACAAGGGGTTACTGAGAGTGAAAGAGAATGAGAAGATTTTAGTGAGGAGAAAGGACAATAAAAGAACAGGTTTCAGGAAGACAGAAGATGGCGATAATGCACTAAGACACAAGAGGTTGCCGGGAATGAAAGAGAATGAGAAGATTTTAGAGAGGAGAAAGGAGAATAAAGAACAGGATTCAGGAAGACAGAAAATAGTGATTGATGTTGCATTTAATTTTTTGAAGATTGTAGCTGGTAGGTAAGCAAAAAAGCAGAAGAGAGTTTCCCAGGTGAGAAAAGAACTTACGGTTGCATCTAGCTATTTCAATAGTAAAGTGATGAGACCTAGTAACCAATCTAGTCGTACGATTCAATTCACTCAATTTTCTTATTTGAGAAACCACCATGACATTTATTTGCATTTTTTCTATTTTTCGGACTGATTTTTCATTGCTATATTAACAACGGTCTTCTTCTTCTTCTTCTTCTTCTTCTTCTTCTTCTTCTTCTTCTTCTTCTTCGTTGTTGTTGTTGTTGTTGTCAGTCTTTCGTTTCAAAATTCTATTCACCTAAAGAAGCCTAGAGCTCATAAGGGACGACACGTTGTGAATGTGGGAATGAAGAGGATCACACTCCGAATAATGTAAATAATGCAAATAATCATAATACCTCATCTCAGAGATATAGACAGATGAAAATATTTATACAAAAAACACACGTAAAGGCGGTGGAAAAGTGACTCAAGTTGAGATGCCAGATCAGGACGGATAACATTACATACCCTTCTTTTGATTTTGTCGAGAATCTCTAGCTATAGATTCGGAGCACCAGACCAGGTATAGCAGCAATATTCAATGCACGGATGAATTAGATGATTTATAAATCTCTGTCCCGACACAGTGAACTCACCTTCTGATAGCCACTGACCTAACAATTGATTCAATACAATCGCTTTACAGCGATTATGTCAGTAGAAAACGTGAGACCAAGTAGGCGCAATGAATTGCTCTCCTGGAGGTTAGCATCAGCCATATTGATGGAGGGCAAAAATGGTTCTCTATAATGACCATAACTGTTTTGTGGTATTTAACTAAACTTGGTTTAGTACGGAAGAAGGTCACGTATGTGAGGAACAAAAACTAAGCGTCAAGGTATATTGATGTTATTTCTTAAACTTAGTTGAACTTGACACAACTCAGTAGGCAAGACGAACTCGTTAATCGTTACTTCCCTGCAAGTAATACCAGTTTGTCTATGTTTTATCTTGTTTTGTTAAGATGAGTATATTCTTCATTTCTCCGCTCTTAGCGAATGGTGGATAAATCAAGGTTGAAACCTCTTGAGTTTGATAAGCTGTATTTGATTTAATTCAATTTTTTCAGAGCTTATCTGATATATATATATATATATATATATATATATATATATATATATATATATATATATATATATATATATATATATATGTTACATTTACATTTCGAAATTCGTTAGTTTAACACTATTTCGTTTTTTCGATTTGCATCCGTTGGGATTTGCCTTTCTAGCCAAGGCTCTTTCTCCTGGCTACAAAACAGCTTACGATAACAAAATTTTCTCCTCTTTTCTAAAACAGTTTCTTTCGTCATTTTCTTCGCCACGCCATTCTTCTGTCCTCCTTTGACATCTCGACTTCAACTTCTTAACGTTCTTTTTTTACCCATAATGCAATTTTCGTCCTTTCCCGCTTCCGCCTCAATCTACAAAGTTATTTTCTTGTCATATTCTCTTGTTTTACAGCCTCTCTCAGATTTCCCTCCCTCTAAGCAAGAGCATTTCCCCCTCTTTTGCTCTGTTACGCAATGCGGTCTTTCTCCACTCTCTCTTTTTTTATTAGTCCTTCTTTTCAATCTCACAGATTTTCTCGTTTATTCCTCCTGCTTTTTCTTCTTTTTATCTTCTTCTTTTTCACTGCTTTTTCAATGGTTCTTATTCTGTCGTTTCTTCACACACTCATCTCCTTCAGTTATCTTCTTTTTTTCCATCTTTTTCTCATTCAATGTTCACTGTTTTTCTATCTGCTGTCATTCATTTTTTTTTGCATTGAAGGCATCTTCATTCATTGACGAACCACCACAAACAATGAATTCATAATTGCAACGTCACAAACAATTCAACCAGTCTTGTATGCAACCATTTTCGAAATGAATAATCATTAAAATAATTGTAGGCATATTTATTAGGACTACCGCACGAAAACACAACCATGAACCATTCGGAAGGCTATCACTGAAAACATTGATTAATGGTTTCAAAGACGATAACGCTAACCATCATTTTATTATGTCTAAATGTTAGAGAACCTTCATATTTCAACCGGTAAATGGTTGGCGGAACGAGTACCAGAAAATCATAAATGATTAATTATTGCCGAAAGCAACAAAGACTGGAAGCTATGAAGAGCCATGATCACTTAGGTCATGAGGAAACATAGCACATAGATAATTCTATTACTACACAAAGGAAATAATAATTATGATGGCACAGAATTAAAAAATCCTATTATCAGTGTTCTTGTCCATATATTCGTTAGTTCCTACGACCGTTACACCCTACCAATACCGCTGAAATAATGGACTATTCCGTTTAGATAGCATGGAAAGAGGGGGAAAAGACACTACTTGGTTTCAGTGAGAAATGAAAGAAAGTTGTGGGTGGTTAACGCCTCTTGCCAGTACCTTGTCAATGATGGACTATTCCGTTTTGATAGCATGGGAAGGGGGGGAAAGACACTACGTGGTTTCAGTGAGAAATGAAAGAAAGTTGGGAGTGTTTAACGCCCCTTGCCAGTACCTTGTCAATAATGGACTATTCCGTTTAGATAGCATGGAAAGAGGGGGAAAAGACACTACGTGGTTTCAGTGAGAAATGAAAGAAAGTTGGGAGTGTTTAACGCCCAATGTCAGTACGTTGTAAATAATGGACTATTCCTTTTTGATAGAATGGAAAGAGGGGGAAAAGACACTACGTGGTTTCAGTGAGAAATGAAAGAAAGTTGGGAGAGTGTTTAACGCCCAATGCCAGTACGTTGTCAATAATGGACTATTCCTTTTTGATAGAATGGAAAGAGGGGGAAAAGACACTACGTGGTTTCAGTGAGAAATGAAAGAAAGTTGGGAGTGTTTAACGCCTCTTGCCACTAACTTGTCAATAATAGACTATTCCGTTTTGATAGCATGGAAAGAGGGGGAAAAGACACTACGTGGTTTCCTTGAGAAAATGAGTGAATGAAAGACGGAGAGACAGGAAGATAGGAATGTTCAAATTTTGTTTCAGAGAAATGAAAAAGTTTTCAATTTGAAATCGTTTCATTTCTACCCTAACCCTAATCCTAAATCTAACCCTAACCCTAACCCTTAACGCTAACCCTAAACCCTAACACGTTATTTCTTAAAAATGCGACCTGCATTCATATTTATAACTGTTATTTCAATATTTTCTGAAAGTTGTTAAGCTCAATGCGACAATGACATTTCTACGGACATTTTATTGTAGAATTCGCCATGAGCTTACTCAGTAATTAGCTTAAGAATTAAGAATTCAAACATGGCATTTTCACGGGTTAAAAATAGTAATTATTTACATTGTTCAAACTGTTGTCCTCATCTTTATTGACATATTCACGACGTTTCGGCCGTTGTACGCACTGACCTTCTTCAGGTGGTGGGGATTTTGAACTGAACTCTTTATTCCGGGGGCAGATTGTTTTAGTTCCACGTGCCATGCCTCTTCCGCGTGTCTCACTTATCTTTCTTTAAGTCAACTCTCCAAGTTTTTGTTCACCTCTGCAGAAAGCAGATATTGAACAAGCAACTCTTTGGGTCAAGACACAGGTTCCAACCAATCTACTGGATCATGTGTTCTTGAAGGCCAGAGCGTACAACGGCCGACACGTCGTGAATATGGCGATAAATTTCGAACAATGTAAATAATGTAAATAATTACAGTTACAGTCTCGTAAAGGACCTCAAATCGGGTGTAGACTGGGACAGGAATTGGCTTGTTAATTTTAATGCCTCTAAAACAAAACTGCTCTTTATTACTCACCACAGGGAACCATTCCTGCTGCCCAGTAGAATGTCTGATGCTCAACTCCACGGGAGCACCTCTTTATGACTTCTTGGTCTCACACTGTCCGTTGACCTGAGATGGAGCAATTACATTGAATCAATTGCTTAATCCACCGCAAGGAAAATTGGTCCGCTGTGTCGCGCCAAAAAGTTTTTCTCGCCAGAGTCCATCCTTCAAATCTATAAATCAACCATTCGCCCTTGCATAGAATACTACTGCCATATATGATCTGGTGATCCCGCTGTTCGCCTTAAGGTCCTCGACAAGATCCAGAGATGGATATGCAATTGTGATCTGGCATCTCAATTACAGTCGGTCTCTCACAGACGTGCCGTCGCTACCCTCTGTCTTTTCTACAAATACTTTCAGGGTAACTGTTCCGACGAGCTACTTTCGCTGGTTCTCAAACTGCATGAATTTAAACGTGCTACTAGGTTGGCATCTCGGTCCCACCCTATCACTGTCAAAACGGTTAAATGTAGCCGTCTCTTCTACTTCAATAGCTTCATGTTTCGCGCCTCTGGTCTTTGGAATTCCCTTCCTAATACTCGTTTCCCTTATAGCTATAATCTCCAACTATTCAAATGTAATGTCAATCGATATCTCCAGATGCCTTGATCTATCCCCTATCCTTCTCTTCATCCTTTCCTCTATCACTCTTATTTGCTCTCACTCCAACTCTCCGTAAATCCTTGCGTGCTAGTTGCTATTTTTAGTTTTCTTATTTTTCATAGTTTGATCATATCGTTAATCTCACGTGTTATTTTTATTGGATTGACGATTCTAAAGAATTTTGTTTTTAGAAGAGTTGCGTTTTGAATAAACTATAGCAGCGTTGCGGTAGGTACATTATCGATAAGTCGTAAAGGTACTTGTACGAGTATGCCGTCCAGCGTACCATAACTCATGATAACTGAAAAAGAACGAGAGATAATACATGACAATTGAGATGAGGCGTTGTTAAAATGAACAGGAGAATCTATTTACGCTTTCAACTCGGGCGATATACAAAAGTATACAGAGAGTTTGTCTAGGGATTCTACCGCATACGTAGGAGTTGGCATTGTATCGTAAGAAGATCACGCCAGGGAAATATACAGGTATATGATTTTTATCACATGAAGTAGTAGTAGTAGTAAAGATTTTCATTGCGTAGCCACCTCGATTGCTGCTGCTAACACTGAACTTTTAGTGCCTCTGGAGATGTCTTCAATCATCGGCATCGGGTTTCAGTAGATAGGTCCATTCAGGCAAAATGACTGCTGTAGCTCAGAGTCGAATCGATGGTGGTTTATATAATGTTGGAGTGTTTCAAAAACAAACTGTTGGTGGAAGCTGACAGAATATTTTTATGACTTTAATTTTTCTTTTTTTTTGTATAGGAAGCGAATGAACTCGAAATTAGGTAAATTGGTACCATTTAAACAATGTTGATGTGAATACTTCTGTTTTAGTTGAAGAAGGCAAGTTACAACAGGCTAAGACAAAAGTAACACTTGTGAGCAGAAGTACTATAAAAATTATATGCAAATATGTCAGTCGGAGTTACTGTTATACCTTACATGGCGCACACCGGGTAGGTTTGATCACCTCTCAATTGCGTCTTTGTCTTCGGGCAGAGTGTGGCTTGGTTGAGGCTCCGTCGGAGTAGAGAAGCGCAAGTGAGGAAAATCACATTGTGAAGTGCCCAGCCCTGGAGAATAGATGCCCGAGGCTGCACTTCCTCGTAGCACTAGAGAGAATGAACGGTTGTGAGGGGCTTGGGGGAATTTTTGTTCTTGGTCCGTGTGTACGCACTTGGGTTCCCTACGTTAAAAACCGACCTTGTGTCACAACCAGTCTCAGTGGGGAAGCCAGGGTAAATATACATTACGTTTTAAAATTGCTCTTTGCTTAAGGTCATTAACAAAAACAAATTCTTCTTGTATAAACAATGGAAAATGTAGGCAATATTTTTAAAACTTAAATATTAGAGGCAAACAAAAGATTTTCGGTTTAATATTGGGTTCAGGTAAAAAAAATCAATATGGAGCTTCTGGCTATCAGTTCGGCATTGTAAAAAATCTCAGTACTAAAAAACAATTAATGTGTCTCCTTGAATCGTTTGTGAAATGGAGAGATAAATCATTACTTCATATATCCTGTGACATATGAAGGGAGATGTTTTATTTCTTCTAGAGAAGGAGATTTTTACACGGATTAATGGGATTTATTTCTATTGTACATATAAATCGTATAAATAGGGTTTTCGAATTATTAAAACAACCATTCACAGAATAAAATCGAATTTGTTTTGACTTTCATCAAAAACGCTTATTAAGTGGAACTTGGGATATTTTTGGAAGAATTTATTTCAGCGAGATATCTCGTCAGTCACTCCAAGAACGATAAATACCGGAGGAAGAAAACTCGGAACAAAGACATTCGTTGAGAGTTTCCTATACACAGGCTTCTATGTTATATGTATATACAGAGTGTATAAAAAATATTTAAAAAATATTGGGGGGGGGGCATTCCTTACACCAAAACAAGGACAAAAGTCCATATGTCCTCAAATCCTTCGTCTTTGCGTCCATTACCATTCACGGTCGTATGTAAAAATTATATTTGCCTGCTTACGATATGAATATCCTCACATTTTTTAAATGAACTTTTCTAAGTTAACTCCCTACTATACACGTTAAACGTTGAATACAGATTATCCACAAATTTACATGAATGACTAATGTAACCTAGTCTAATGTCAATACAGCGCCATCTAACGTATACTTACTTTAAGCTTAATAACTCAAAAACGAAGTATTTGTGGACATATGTTTCCGTTTTTTTCCTTGTTTACGTGTGAGAAATCCGCTCCCATAGTTTGTAAAAGTATTTTTGATACACTCTGTATATATGATCCAATGAACATATATATATATATATATATATATATATATATATATATATGATGACCCAATTGAAAATCCTTCGCGTGACGCACTTCGTTCCTCACGACACCATCTGACAAAAGTAATGTTTAGAAAACAACACCCTCAATACATTAGTTGTTCACTGTAATGAGATTGACCATAATTTTTATTAAAAAAATACCACTTTAATTAAAAGAGAAAGCAATTTACTAAGATGAGAATGTATAGAAAGTGCTCTAATCGCTAGATCACCCACAGTAAATTTATATCCAAGTTTTTCCAATATTTCACCTTTATTGACAGATTTCAATTACAATAATAATTGATATTTAATAACAAAAGTGATGAAAACATACACAAAAAAAAGAAACTCAATGAAATTGGCTTGACTATATTTGGAAAAGTATTTTTAAAAAAATTAAAATATCGCCCCCCCCTCTTCATGCGCATATGTAGTGACATTAACGTAAACATCTGTTTAGTCCAATGCAGCCCTAGGGGATGAAACGAGCTACTGACAAGGTACTGCGGGTAAATTTTTTATTCAATTTTTTTTTCTGAACATAGATTATGTAGAAATTGTTCGAATGTTCTTTATGTCCGAACATTTTCGGCTATACTTTTAGCCATTATCAATATCATCTATAAAAAAGAAGGAAGGCTTCCTATATATATATATATATATATATATATATATATATATATATATATATCAATTATGTGGCGCAGTTTAATTTATATTACAATGATTCATTCATACAAAAAGTAAATTAGTAAAGTTAATGATAGAAAATGGCGAAATCCCTTCGCTAACAAAATTTTTAAAGATGCATTAATCTACTAATCATTCGATGGATGTTATGATCCTTGTTTTTTAAAATAATAAACTGTATTAGGTCTTCGTTAAATACGCAAGTACTTTCGACGGTTCTACCAGTCATCATCGGGCATAGAAGCTTATTTGTTTTTGGTAAAATTCAGGTAGCATCCGAGACGAAAAAATATAATTCAAATTTTCGGGATAACAAGTGAGACATTACTCTACTTATTGAACTATTTAGTTCATTCCATATTGACTGATAAACTACTACAACAAAAAATTCTTGAATTGCCATATTAGTAAAAAAAAAAAAAAACGAAAAAAAACACACTCACTTAAATTTTCAAAAATTCAACCTTAGCGTTGCGAATGCACGCTCCGCAAGTTGCATTCGTTATCAATAACACTTTAAAAAATATTTTTTTGGATTTATATATATATATATATATATATATATATATATATATATATATTTAATTTAATTTATATTAAGAAACAGACAACTTTAAAAGTTCATAGGATTATAATTTATTTCCTTAGAACCGGGATTTTGGTCCTAATTCATCAGATCTCCATTTTCATATGGAGATCTGATGAATTAGGACCCAAATCCCTGTCCTAAAGAAATAAATTATAATCACCATGAACCCTTAAAGTTGTCTGTTCTTTTAATTAATATTTGCTCTGTTTTTATATTGAGCTCTCTGGATTATATCCTCCTTGGAATTATCTATACGGATTACCAAATAACTTCATTAACTAACTAACGAACTAGCTAATTATCCATACAACTGAATATCTATCTATCTATCTATCTATCTATCTATCTATCTATCTATCTGTGTGTGTGTGAAAAAGTGTGCATATATATATATATATATATATATATATATATATATATATATATAATTATTTATATATTATATGCGCGGTACTTATTAGAAAGCGCTCAATATCAGAGATAGAGCTAACATATTTGGTTGGACTGATCCAACCAAATATATATATATATATATATATATATATATATATATATTATAGTAAAAAAAGAAAAGGACAGTAAGATATGAAATCCGGTGTTCTTATTGATATTTTAATTTTTACGAAACAGTGCTCAGCGTAAATTTACAGAGCATAAATATTATAAAGTAACTGATTTAAAAATATGGTTTCATCGCGACACAGGAATTACCATTTTTCAAAAACAGAATCCAAAAAGTTCAAATTCAATTATATTAGATTAAAAGCATTTCATCTTCAAGCAAATTTTGGAATTCTGAATTTTGGAATTAATCTATGAATGTATGTGCATTTAAAACTATGAATTTATGTGCTTTTAAAATAAGTTATTCCAAAATTCCCTTGAAGATGAAACAGAACTAATGCTTTTAATTTAATATAATTGCGTTTGAAGTTTTTGGTTTCTGCTTTTGAAACATGGTAATTCCTGTAGAGAGATGAAACCATATTTTTAAATCAGTTAATTTATAATATATATATATATATATATATATATATATATATATTTGGACACCGAAGTATATATGTATATATTAGCAGCTGCAGTCATGATTAATCTATTGTAAAGGTATTTCTTAAATTCTCCCATGACGACTGTGACTGTGCTATTCTGTGCTTACCAGTAAGTCCTTTATCTATTCATCTATCTGCTCGTTTACACAACATTTGTTATCCATTGGCCACCAATCAAATAACCTTTTACTCCGTTCGTTATCGTTTGTCCCGCCCGCTTCTAATTTTGTCATTTAATCACTTGTATGATATTTCCTTATCTCCTTATTTCCGTTTCCCGACCCCCTTCGATCCCAGAGTTATCGCTGACATTACGCTTTCCTTTGATCTTTGGGAATTTTCAAGTTTCTTTTCTAGGGGTATTATTCATTTCGACGTTTCACACCTGTACATAATCGCTGATATTAGGCATTCACGATACACTTTACATTTTAAGCATATTGGCAGAGTGTTTCCCAGTCTACCTTTATATTTGGTACATGCTTTCCGACAGAAGATTGAATAAATGTGAGAAATCTAAGACTCATCATATACTTATGACAAGTGATAAGTGTATGTAGGATAAAACTATTCCTCTCATTTGAAGGTGTAGAAAGGCCCTAATATGTATAGCTGGCCACTCGTATTCAAGGATGCCCGCCTGCGGGGGGCGGTTAAACAATCCCCATTGTAGACGCTTGCTCTGGTGCATTTGTGTTCATTCAACATCTACAGAGCTCACCTGTGGTTTATACTGCAGACCTTAGTTGTAGATTCTGGGAAAAGAGCGTGTTCTCTAGCGTGATCAACAATTTGAACAAGGCCAGCATGCTCAAACACTCAGCCACGAAGACTTGTAACAGCTAGCTAGCACAGCTATCGACGGCCTCCAAGGATCCAGTCTACCCAATTTCATTCACGAGGTTTGGGTCAACCCCTGGTAGGGCTTTTCAAGCACTTTCCAAAGTGGGATCGACCCCTCCACCATTAACATCAGGAAGTCTCCTCCCTGATAAATCGACCATGGTGAGATTCGAACCCGGGTCTCATGGTCAGAATTCGAACCACTCGGCCATAATAACCTAATATATGAGATTATTAATTAACACGGTGACTTACCAACCTCTGTCCGCGACATTCTCGTAGAAAATACCAACGTAATGCGCCCATCTTGCTGCAGAGAACTCTTAAAAATAATGTCATATTTTATTTTATTCTGTCTTGTGTAACTTACTTGTTTTTTTCGTCAGCCACCAAGATAACAATTGCTTACATTGCCTTCATCTGCATGTAGGAACTGTTGAATTTCTACTGGATTCACGGTCAAAATAAAAAGAACTTTGGATCATAGAATGGTTCCTTTTGTAGCATTTCAGAATGCATACAGATGTTTCAGTTATAATAATAATAATAATAATAATAATATCAACAGCAACAACAATAACAATCAAAGCTAATCGCCCAGATATCGTTATTAGAGACCGCAAACAAAAAAATGCCTCCTTATTGATATGGCGGTCCCTGCAGACTGCAATGTATATTTGAAGATCTCCAAGAAGCTGTTAAAATACAAGGACTTTAAAATCGAAACCTCAAAAATGTGGCACATGAGAACACAACAATCCCTGTTGTAGTTGGAGCCCTCGGATTGATTGGAAAAGATTCCAACAGACTCACTGAAGGGATCCCTGGTAGACCATGCCTTAAATAAATACAAGCAATTGTCCTCACGAGTACAGACCACATCTTACGAAGGGCTTTATCTATGTAACATATGTGTGTTGTTTGTTTTTAATTGGTCAGTAGAAAATGTCATGATGCCATTTCTGACCTTAAGTCTCTGGGCAGAACCTGAAAAGAAATGTGTACATCAAAAATCACAGGAAATATAATAATAATAATAATAATAATAATAATGACAGAGTTGTCTAATATCTGCACTGGATAATCTGTAACTTCTACGAGAAGGAAACTGAAAGGAAGTGGTATGAACACCACCCAGACCTGGTTAGGGAGATGGACCTGTTACAATTCTATGGGATTACACAATACACTCAGAACAATCAACGCTAACCGCCCAGACATTGTTATTAGAGACCGCAAATAAAAAAGGTGCCTCCTTATTGATATGGCAATCCCTGCAGACTGCAATGTATCTTTGAAGATCTTCAAAAAGCTATCGAAATACAAGGACCTTGAAATCGAAATCTCAAAAATGTGGCACATGAGAATATCAACGATCACTGTTGTAGTTGGAGCCCTCGGATTGATTGGAAAAGATTCCAGTAGACTAATTGAAGGGATCCCTGGAAGCCCATGCATAAAAGAAATACAAAAATTGTTCTCACGAGTACAGCCCACACCTTACGGAGGGCTTTGTCTATGTAAAAAAAAAAAATTTTTTTTGTTTTTTTTCCAGTGGAAAATGTCATGATGCCATTTCTAACCTTAGGTCCCTGGGTGGGACCCGGAAAGAAATAAGTACACATCAGAAATCAAAGGAAATAAAATAATAATAATAATAATAATAATAATAATAATAATAATAATAATAAACATTTGAAGCATCCCAATATTTAAGCACACATCTAGAGCATATCTGGGATCAATGATTTATGCTTTTATTAATTTTGTTCTCAAAAATATTACTATAACATATCCTGGAGTGGAATTAGTCGGTGCCATGACATTTTTAATAAACATAACGAATGTCACAATAGAAGAATCTTGGTTGGTCTTATTTTGATGCAACTTTAAGAAAAAAAATAGAATTTCAAGTGTTGCCTTAAAACTTCTCAGTTTTTAATCACGAGCTTAAAAAGAATCGTTAAATAAAACGAATAAAAAAAATTGGAGAGTAAAGAATTAAGTCCATTGGTCAATTTTCGTAACGTAAAGGATGGCCTTAAAAATAAAACGCATAAAATGTTTTTTGAAGTCCTGTTTATTGAAATAATATACTTCAGATTCCTTCAAGATATTTACTGCTGTAGACATATTGTTTGGTAAAGATCAGTCGTAGAGTTTTTCTTCGTCTTTTTGATATTTGCAGATTGAAAAAAAATACATCAGTAGTTTGTGAAGATTCAACTTTCACTTTGTAAAGAATATTTGAGTCCCTCAGAGATTACTAACAAAATGAAAATAACGATTTTCATTGGTTGTGTTTTTTCTTTGGACTAATCTCAGCCCACTATCCTAGAAGAATAAGTCAATAATAATTCGACATGCATTTCTAGAAACCTAACTCAATAATATTCGATAGCAGTTGAAAGCACAACAGAAAACATAGGATACACTACTGAGTCTTTGCATTACACAAAGATGTTGATGTTAGTCCGAATCAATCACATAACATGGCTCTATAAAATTAAGACAAAAATTAATGATTATGTGAAAATTATTATTTTTTTTATTAATGTTCAAACAATACAAAGCTCAAGAGCCACTCAAAGTAGAGGGATATTGTATGGAGTCATATTAGCGTAAGAAAGGACGAGAAATGAAGCTCTTAGGGTTATGCAGGAAAGATAACAATTAACTCTAGACTTAAAGAGGTCAACATTTAATTAGTGAATAACATTTCAGAGACGTAAGAAGTATAGAGTTGAAGTAGACTTTAAAAGCCACTGGAAACCCAATCCTAAGCAGGAAACAAAGGATAAACCTCTACTCATGTTCAAAAGACCGGAGAGGAGTGTGAACCGGACGATAAATGAATCTGTCTACTTCTAATTACTAAGTGCAATTAAGTTTTAAACCCGCGAGTCGAGTTTACCTTTGGAGGATCGAAACACTACAAATGATCTATAATATATCAGATTTTATTATGCATGCTAATTTTTACAATAATATTTACCCTGTACAGGACACAAGAGCCACTCGAGGGAGAGGGTTATATAGCAAAATGCAGTTTATGGGGATATGTGGGGAAGATAACCGTTGACCATACATTTGAACAGGTTAAGATTGTAGTGATCATTTTTTTTATCAATCCGTTTTCTACGGCTTATCAACTCTTTGCAGGTTATTTAAAGCCAGAAAATAGTTTTAGATTGTAAGAATCTTTTCTGGGGATAATAATGGTTTAGTCATACTAATTAACTGCGGTAGAGAAGAGGTGGATTCATGCCTTTCCCAAGGGTATTTGCACGTAAGCGAATATAACAAATCCAACTGGAATTGGAACTCGCCACTCCGATTAACAATCTCGATTCATTATTCATTACACCACCGGCACATCCACGCTTACAGTACCTGGTATTCACAAGCATTTACTCAATTAGGTAAAAAACTGACCCGGCGTTGCTTAACTTCGGTGACCGTACG